TATGGGATTCTTTGAATTTTAACAAAAACCCAGGTATTTGAACCAAAAGAAAACCATCTAACATGGAATTTCAGGCATTAGTAAGTAGATGGAGTGAGGAATGGAAGGCATGGAGATTTGCTGATAGCTCACCAATTGGGCCAAAGAGCTCTACATTTTAACCATCAAATGATCTATTTTTCCCCCTGTAAAAGATTTTTATTTAGTAAAATACCTTTATGATGTAATCATAATTTTTCATTATTAATATAGTAATTCTCATTTTTGATAGCTTACTATGTGACCAGCCCTCTATTATATACTTTACATACCATCCTAAAATAGGTCTTCACAAAAACCCTATGAAGTGATGAACATTCTTCCCTTACAGATGAAGAAGTGTGGCACATACAGAAATTTTTTTTTGCATGATTAGAATTATTTTCTTTTAATTCTTAGTACAACTTGTGTTTTTTATTGTTTAAAGTATTACACATAGTAGGACATATATCTCCTTCCCCCCCCGCCGCCTCTCCCCCACATTGACCTTAGTACAACTTGTTGATAAAACCATTTTGGCCTCAAGTTTTCTTCAAGGGAAGACTATTACCACTGATTCAATTTTTTTTAGTGTTTATAGAATATTCAAATTTTCTATTCTAGTTTTGGAAAGTTATGTTTTTTATATTTCATTTAAGTTTTAAAATTGAATGATATAAAATTGAATGATATAATATAATATAATAATGATATAAAAGAGCGTATTCTCTTATTACCTTTATAACATCTCCAGGATCTAGCACTATATTCCCATTTTCATTGTTTTAAAATTTTTTGTTTTCACTTGGTGTCATCAGATCTATCAAAAATCAACTTTGATTTTCTTGTATTATTTTGAAATTATACTTAATTTTAATATATTTTGTTCTTTCCTCTCTAAGAATTATGATTAAATCATTTGTTTTTTAAAATCTTTTATATGCACTTAAGACAACTGTATCTCCCTACATACATTTTAAGTTAAATCTACAAGATTTGTTAAGTGTTCTCACAAAAAAAGAAGAACTAATAATTATGTGATATGATAGAGGTGTTAGCTAAAGTTATGCTGGTAATCATACTGTAATATATAAATGTATCAAATCGATACATTGTACTTTTTAAACTTATATAATGTGTACATGTCAATTATATTTCCATTAAGAATCTATAAGATCTATAAATAGTATGTCTCAATATATTTAAGTTACAAATGTTTTATAAATTCTGTTATAATTTATTATTTAACTTTTTAATAGTTTATAAATATATAGTTGGTTTTCAATTATCATGTTTCTTAGTTATAAATTTGTTAATGATTTCTAACAATAAATCAAAAATTGCCTGATAATGTTATCTCTAAGACCAACCCTTTAACATTTAAACTTTAAGTTTTTCATAAACCAAAGGAGAGGTTCAAAATTGTATTAGAAAGCTATTTCCAGGAGGGGGGGAAAAGAGGGGATGGGAGATATTTGTGATATTATCAACAATAAAAATATATTAAAAAAAGAAAGCTACTCCTTACTGACTTCACTTCATATAATACTATATGCATGGCAGGGACTGTATATAATGGAACTAATTTAACCTCAAAGAGCCCTCTGAGATAGGTCCTATTGCTATTGTCATCCCTATTTTACAGAAAACGTAACAGGCAGAAAGATCATAGACAATTTGTTCAGAGTAAAAAAGCTCACAGATAGCAGAGCCACAATCCAAGACCAGCCATATGACATCTAAGGCCATGCTCTTAGTAACTAAGCTTTCCATAGGAGTTATAACCCCATTACTAATATCCTAAAATTTCCAAAGCACCTGTTTAAATGTTTTTTTTTAAATGTCAATATACTTTCTTTTGTGTTTAAAGAGCCTGATGGGTTAATAATGAAAAGTGTAATTATCCTCTTTTGTATGTGGGAAAATTGAATCGTAAAACCATTATAGCTATTCAGAGGCAAATTTACCCAGGGTTGTGTCATCTAAAATGGCTCACTATTTCTCTTGACTCTATGTTCAGTGTGGGTAGAAGGTAGTTTATTTAAATGA